GGCTGCTCCCTCTCTGGACGACCAACACCAGTAAACTCCACTGTCAAAGCGATGTAAGGTGATCTTACAGGTAGAACCAGCTGGTTTCCCCCATCCATCTCCACACTGAGTCCTGGTTTCTCTGGTTGTGTTCCTCCATACAGTCCATCCAGCAGAGCTGTTGTTCTCCTCACAGCTCAGAGACACTTCTTTACCTTTAAAGAACTGAGATCTGCTGGGACTCACAGTCAGAAAAGCTGCTGAAATGACAAACTGATTATTCATACGTACAGAAACCCTGAACATTTTCTTAACCATAGGTGTTAACTCTGAATATTAAGGTGTTAAACAGGAAGTGAACCAACCTTGGTTTGTTGTGCAGCTCAGCACTGAGGTCAGAGCTAAAAAGAGAAAAATAATAATAATGTGGTTTAACAAAAAACTTCATCATTTCTAGATAAAACCAGTTTTACACCTCAGATAGTTTTCATTCAGACCATTACTGTAAATGTTGTTCCAACAGGTCGAAAATAGCTCTACATCACAAAGTTCTATTAATATTTTCCATGTTTCATCTGTTCTCTTCAGATTCCAGTAGAACTTCTCCTCAGTGTGTTTTAACCCAGTTCCAGGCTGTTTCCCAGCCTCTCCTCCATCATCAGTTATCTACAGAAACCCAGGAAATGTTCAGAAAGAATCTCTACTTACTGAGCAGAAATTTGACAGATGTTTCCTTCATTGTGTCTCTCAGAGCTCTGATAGAAATGTTCTGAGGCTGAGAGTAAAACCCTCTTCCTCTGTGCTTTACGGGTTGCAGGAACAGAAAGTGAGCAATGTTGCAAAGACAAGTATCTCCACCAACCGGGCACTGGCTGTGGGTTAGCACCATCACATCACTTCCTGTTCAGCTCTAGGTTATTATTTTCTGAACACGTTTGAAACACCTACTTCTGTTGTCAATCTTCTCATGTAGGAACCCTTCATCAAACAGTTGTCATTAAAACAAAACACTAGGACTTTGGTTTTGTTCTTAATCCAAAGATCTTCCTCCGTTCGAAGTTATTGATGGAGAAGATGGCAGCTTTAAGCTGTAGGGGTGTTCTGCTGTGCAGACCTAACTCCTCGTGCAGGTTGGCCTCCTCTAACAACAGGGTGTCATTAATGCCGTTGTTATTCTGGGTTACTAAGAAATGTTGGGTCACATGCAGAATGGGGTGATTGTTGTGAAATTAACTGAGGATCAGGCTAAATGCTGGACTTGATGTTGTTGAAAGCTGAAATCTGAGGCCTCCTCATCTGTTTATAGATGATTGCTACTTTTTAATAAAAACGTCTTTCTTCACCTTTCTCTCCATCTATCTTCTCAACACATTCTCATTATCAGTTCGTACGAAATCGTACGAAGTTATGCACAGTAATTTCGTACGTTTTTGACGTTTTTCCCCCAAAAAATACAGATCAGTGCGCATGCGCAGGCAGACAGACGAAAAAAGCAGATCCGCGGACAGACGTAAAACTGGGAAAAACAGTGCAATGATTACTTCTTGATGTCTCGAACTACGTTGCTTGCTGTTTTGTATCTTAGGGTTAGGGTTAGGGTCAGGGTTAGGGTTAATTATATGTTAAATTCTATGTTATTGAATGGTGCGTAAGATGCGCATGCGCAAGGATATCGCAAGACGTAAAAATATAACGAAATACGACGAAAAAAAACGTCTAAAACGTACGAAATTACTGTGCATAACTTTTCGTACAATTTCGTACGAACTGATAATAAGAATACACTGATCTTCTCTGTCCAAAATAACCTGCTGGTCTTCAGAGTGTCAACTA